CGGCGGATGTCGTTTATCGGGACGCCATATTGGTAAGATCAGACCCATTCCCGCCTACTTCTGCTTCAGAAGTAAAAGGCTCCTTTAGATGTCTAGATCTAGAAACTTTAAAACGTCCCTGTTGGGCAGAAATATCCAGCTCAGATGTAAATTAGCATTTAGCACTAAACAGCTAAAGCTGGTATAAAAAAATCCATCAATCTTCGACTGTTTCATATATTGATTACCAAAGCCGTTTTTTTTATAATATCATTTTAGTTTTCATCTTTTCTTCCGAACTGAACTCCTTTTTACAGGTTAAAAATGAAAACGATTTGGGGTTAGCGTTTAAAACGGTGACCGCTTCTGTCTTGGTGCAGGATGGCGCCCGAAGTGGCCGCTGTGGAGATTAAGGGCGGCTACAACGAGCTGTGTGACATCTGGTCTGTGGGCATCACGGCCATCGAGCTGGCCGAGCTGCAGCCTCCCATGTTCGACGTCCACCCGCTCCGGTAAGCGTCTGGACAGCCTGAGCTGTTTTAAATCCATCCCAGGTTTTCTTTATTTCATTGTTATCATAAACTGAATTTACACTAAAGTACCAATTGCTTTCCTTTTTGGTTTCCACCTTTAATGAAGGAAACATTCTGATTTTGTGATGTTTATTCATCACTGAGCTGTAAAAGTAGTTCTAGTTAGGTTCTAGTAAAGTGTGAGTTCCTCTGAAGAGCTGGCAGGTTAAAGTGCATCTCTGCTGCAGCACCCTGCAGAGCAGGGAAGCTGAAAAAGCCTTCAGTGAGTTCAGAGGAAGTCACTGATGTTACAGATAAAACGTTACAGCCGATGTTCATCAGGTGTGAAGTTATCAAGTCCAGCTCATGTGTTCAGTTAGAGCTCGGTAAGATTTATAGTTTATATTAGATCGATTTAGAGTTCAAATGTAACCTAAATGCTGCATCTAAACTAGTTTGTCACCCTTTGCCAAGTTTAATACACACATAAACACACACACGTATATATATATACACATATATATACATATATATGTGTGTGTAAGATTGATAGTTTATATTAGATAGATTCAGAGTTCAAATATACACGCATATATATACAAATATATGCATGTGTATGTGTGTTTTATAGGAATTTATTGTTTTAGATCCATTAAATATTTGTTTAGAATCTTTTATTATTTTCAGCCAATTGAAAGCACAGTAGCCTTTTCTGGAAACTGTTGTTGTTTCTCAACAACAGTGACGTTCACAGCAAAGTGTTTCGGCAGTAACACTTAGCAAGTAATTTTTTAATGATTTGTTGTGTAAAAACTTCTGTTGTGAATGCGGTTTACCGAGCTTATTGTTGGCCCCCAAAGGCAGCACGCCCCGGTTTCTCTGACAGGTCATTGGTCAGTGCTCTCAGTCTGGACACTCTGAAAGCACTACAATAAGTCATGCTTAGTACAGAGGTTGTTTTCTTTGGCTGAGCCCAGTCGAAACATTTTGAGCTTCTCACAGAATCATGAGGTCCGTCTGCACATTTTGATGTGAGACAGGCAGAGTATCAGGTCGTCTGAAGTGTCTTAAATGTGATTATGAGCATGTATAACACAAACTGATATTCATAGCACAGACTCCACAGAGACCAAGTCTGAGCAAAGGCGTGAGACATTTCCTTGGGTTTGACTTGCCTTTCTCCTGCAGGGTGCTGTTTCTCATGTCCAAGAGCGGCTACCAGCCCCCCAAACTGAAGGACAAGTCAAAATGGTAAATGAAACTTCAGTTATATTAGATCGGTTAATCTATGACCTATTTCATGCTCTGAAAAGCTGCTTAGTTGCTGCATGTTTCGGTAGATCATATTAAAAATGGACATTATATTCCACCTGTGCTTGTCAGACTAATTAGCATCTGTTTAATTAAAGCTTTTGTAATTCTGTAGTTAAACGCTAATTAATCAGAAATATGTGCATGTGTGTATTTCTGATCTGTCTGTAAATGGATGATTACAGGACGTCCATGTTTTACAACTTTGTGAAGGCCATGTTGGTGAGGAACCCAAAGAAGAGACCCAGTGCCTCCAAGTTGCTCTCAGTAAGAACTATCCAAACAGATGAGTTTCTTCTAACACACGACAAATGTTAGAAGATCTGTAAAAAACTGGGACAGGCTCAGCAAATGGCTGGATTGATGATTTTCA